AATTTTTGTTTGGTTTATTTATTTTTATAATTAAATGAAATGACAATAAAAAAATGTAATTAAGAGAAAGTTTTTGTTATAACATAATATAGAGTCAAATACAAGAAAAATGTTTCAAATGTCATAAAGAAAATAGAAAACTAATCAAACATTGTTTGATAATCTACTTGGTCTCCGATCTGGACATTGTCGACAGGGGCAGAGGTTTGATGGCCATGCTCGGGTTGGATGGGCTCAGAGGTGGATGAAGGAACAAAAGACGGTACAGGAATGCCGGACTGGGCGAGGGACTGTAAGAACGAATCCATCTGGGACATCCGGGCTTCATGCTCGCCCATCTGGGCCACCTTTGCTTCAAGCTCGGCCATCTGGGCCACCCGGGCTTGAAGCTGGTCCATCTGGGACATCCGGGCTTCAAATTGGGCCATCATTGCTGTCATAGCACTGTTTGACTGGGACGATGAACGGGATCTAGGTTCCCGCCGCCGGGCATTCCCCATCCCTCGACAATATGTCCCTGGCCGCCTCCCGAGAGTCTGCTCCAAAGCCTCCGTCAAGATCTGAAACCCTGCATCTGGTGGAGGAGCCACGGACTCGAGCGGCGTATCGGGAGGAAGCTGAGAGGCGGACTCCTGAAGAACCAACTGGCTCTTCTCAATCATGGTCATCTATTTAACATAACATAAAATATTAATTAAAACATTCATATAATAAAGTTGAAACTTGAACGTGTAAGAGAATAATTATAATTAAAGACTACTTACATGAATGGACTCCGCCAACTCATTCCCAGGTCGAACATAAACGTCGCCAAAGACATCAATCTCTGGGAATTTGGACCCCTCCTAATTGAACAAGAGAAAAAAAATTGTTAGTACAAAAAAAACAAATTAATATTAAATACATTAAAAAGTAAATAAAAATTATATAATTATTACCTGCCGCCGCGCCTCCATCCTATAGGAGAAGGGCCTGGCACCTGAATGGTGGAGAAGAGTCTTCTTCGCCCTATTGCCCTTATTTGCTTTGGCCATCTTCTGTTATACAAAAAATAAAATATTTTAGTTGAAAATGAAATGAAAACAGAATTTTGAACTTAGTAAAAAAAAAAATACCACATAATCTGCCCCCTGAAAATGACCACAGAGCCACTCCCAACTATCCTCCCGCCCCTCAAGCTCCTTCGGGCAACCCTCCAGAAGAGCAACCTGCGGATCATCATATGCCTGAAAATGGTGGTGCAGGTTGCTCTTCCACTGCTTGTACCTATCCGCAAACAGTCTATTGATGTACCCGAACAAATCATCGTTGAGATTCTCTAAATTGTAGTTGATCTGCAATAAATTAATTACATGCATTAAGTACTAGAAATATATAAAATTGGAAGGGAAAACAATTAAAAGGTAGGATACATACCGACAGCTGTCCACGCACCTCCATCTGCACCTCGTTAGGCATGGCCTTCCAAGACTTCCATTTCATCGGACAATGGGTCCGAATGACTGAACCAACATCGTGGGCCAATGAGCTATGTTGGTCCGCAGTAGGTGCAGCCCGATGACGCTCGTCGTATCTGATGTTGATACGACTGTTGGTCACCCGAGTGAGCTTCGCCGTACTCAACTGGCGACAAGGTCCCCGGGTGTTCTTCTTGGCTGCAAAGATATATAAAATTAACGTTAATTAACAAATTAT